CACGTCGAAGCCGACGAAATCGAGTGTGCGCACGGACCATCCAGCGAGGCGTGACCTGATCAACGAAGAAAATTAGGTTCAAATCAACAAAGTCACATGCCTAACACGGTGCGATGGCTAAACTGATGGCGCCGGATAACACCACGCGAGCAACCAAAAGCCGGACAGTTGTGCCGCGTCGTGCCGGTGTCCATTAAAAGGCACGGACTTCACCTGTGTCTCTCTACACTGTCCTCCTACCCCACAGCAACAGTACTCCCCATCTGAAACCTATCACAAACTGCCCTGGCAACAATGGTGAGTGCCGTCTCACTATGAACGACGAGCAGAGCGTATAAGGAGATGTACTCACGTGTCGCGCCCTTGCTTTCTTTGTGTCAGCCTAGCAAGCTCACTACTACGTACCCTAACCACGTTACTGTATCCCCTGCGGCTGCTACAAGAAAGCAGTGTTGGAGTGTTAGGGGTGCAGAGAAGAAAAGAGTCGAAGGATCGAAGACGGCAGAAGCCAGCAACGAGGTCCAGGTGAGCCCTCTCCTCCCTCTTCTTATACTCCTTGTCTCCTTTTTCGCCCTTCCCTCTTCGATCTCTCGTTTGCTATGGCCACCTCCTACTTCCCCTCCCCATTGTCCCTTCCGCCGCCTTTGTCCCTGCCCTCACCCATATGTCGCATGGCGAGGGGTGGCGTTGGCCAGGGAGAGTGGTAGCTACACATGGTGGTTACGGTCAGCGGCTTCTTCAGGCCCCCGGCCGTGGCTATCAGGTAGTGGATCTCCCGCAGATGGTGGAGATGGTGGCGTGCATCATCGTCCTAGCACATGTGCGCCTGGGATGCCAGACAGGATAGGCCACATACACTATATGCCTTAGGCCCCGTTTTATCATCATACTCACCATCTTCCTCCGCCATAGGCACGCAAAGAGACTCCGCCGATGGGCCAGTGGCGTCACATGTCGCGCCGTGAATGGAAGGCACTGCACCCCAACGCCTGGGTACCTCCCCAACGCAGGCGACCACTCGTGCCCGTGACCCCACCACAAGTATGTCTATGCCCTTCCTCTTCATCCTTTGTCCCATGTCTGGGTTCGTTCATGAGGCATGGGCAGTGTGCTGACACGAAGCTTGTGCAGGTACGGGCCACGCCGAAGGCAAGCGAAAGGAAGGAGATCGGGGTCCTCGACCTCGTCCCTACCCAGGTCTCGGGGGCCATGAGTAGGAGGATCCACACGAGTGCCATAGACCTCCAACTTCTGCCACCCTTGCCTACGACACCGCAAGCACCGGTAAGTCACATGCATCTTTAGGCCCATTCACCATTCAATTAACTACGACGGCACAACAGCCCCAGACGCTCGAGGTCGACGAACAGACCTTTAACCGGGTAATGTTCGAAATGTATTGCGAACGGGTTATCGCGGGCGTACTGCCGCTCCCGGGAGGTTTCCTGGGGGCTTATATCACCCTCATCACCCCGCCCCCGCCCCCACGGCCGACTCTCGTTCATCGCCTGGCCCACGGCTATCACTTCAGCGGCGTGGAGGCACTGGTCCAGCCCTCCATCTGGGGCCCCATCGACTTCGTCCTGCCCCCCCTCGCGCAGGACCCAGGGCCCGAGGCGTGCGACGTATCTGCCCAAGAGACTAACAACAAAAACAGAACACAAACCACTGCACTTGCCGCGTTCATGATGGAACGGGAGCCCAATGTGAGTTTGCATTTCTATCCTTGTCATTCGTCTCCTGAATTCAAACACTGACAACAACGACTTAGACATCTATGTGATCGCCCGATCCTGGGAGTTTATATCCCGACGCGGTCGATCCGTCCAGTACGATGCGTACCGGAAGAGTTGAGATGACGTGAGGCGATGGTGGATGTGGGGACGAGGGACGAGGGGGACTTCACCAAGCCGTCCATTGCGGGATGCATGGACAACGGTGAAATGATGTTGGTGTCCCACTTCGAGCCGAGGGTGTGAAGTGGCGTATGAGTGAGAGGGGATGCCAATGGTGCTGGTTGAAGAGGCCCGTGATGGACCTGTGGATGGGTTCGTTTATATATCGGATCGGATGCTTATTAGTTGTACATATCTCTTGTTCCTTTCTCCTTTATCGTTCTTCTTTGTCTATTCCTCCATCCGTTTAGGTTTGTCGATCGCGACGGCGGTCTCCTTGTACATACGCCGGGGATCGCCTGTCGTTTGTACTTTTCTTTCTTCGTATCGAGGTCTAGATGCAATATTCTCTACTACGTCTGCATCGTCAAGACCAATATCAGCTGAATACGTCTCGTCGAACAAAAATGCACGTACGAACTCCCGTGCTTGTTTACGGACGATATCTCCTGCGCCTGGGAAATCAGCGCAGCCAACAGAGTGCCACAGACCGAGTGGCTCGAGGGGGGGGGGGGGGGGGGACGTCGAAGCCGACGAAATCGAGTGTGCGCACGGACCATCCAGCGAGGCGTGACCTGATCAACGAAG